CCTACCATCCCTACATTCCACACTCTACCATTCCTACAGACCTCACCCTACCATCCCTGCATACCACACCCTACCATCCATACAGACAACGCCCTACCATCCATCCATACCACACTCTACCATCCCTACAGACCACTAGTTACCATCCCTACATACCACACTCTACTATCCCTACAGGCCTCACCCTACCATCACTACAGACCACACCCTACCATCACTACATACCACACCCTACCATCCTTACAGACAACGCCCTACCATCCCTACAGACCATGCCCTACCATCCATAAAGACCACACCTCACCATCCATACAGATAACACTATACTTTCCGTACATATGTCTCCCAACAATACACACAACTGCTGTTATAGCTACTGTATTTACATGTTATATTTGTTCGTTATCATCAGTATCTAGTCCTTGCCAGCGTCACAAGTAGTCCACTGTGACATATGTCATTGGTAAGGTGAAAAGCCATATTACATACAGGTGTTAGATAAACCCCATTGACCGATGGGGTGCAGTCCTACTTTGTGAATTAATTACCATAGAAGTGCATGCCTGGCAGTCGTATGGAGTGACGACAGATCCGCTCTCTGTGGACTTTCTCTATAGTGACCGTATGTCTGAGCATAGCAGTTGTTGGGCTTGTCTGATAAATCCAAATTCTCTCGTGCTGGATCAAAAGTCTCTTGATAGACTGTGAACTGAACCACCTCCTTAGTGGAGACGTGAGATTTGAGCCAATGAGCGTTCACTATTTCCACACGTTCGTTCACTTTAGTTACCATACCGGATACATAGATCGTTTGTTGTGAGCTTATATAAACTTTCCGCTGGTGATAACACAAGCATTGCTTCGATGGATACGTGTTTTCTGAACATACCATATTTTACTCAATGAAAAGCACGGGTTGTAAACTTACCATATTTTACCCAATGTAAAGCACGGGTTGTAAACTTACCATATTTTACCCAATAAAAAGCACGGGATGTGAACTTACCATATTTTACCCAATAAAAAGCATGGGTTGTAAACTTACCATATTTTACCCGATGTAAAGCACGTGTTGTAAACTTACCATATTTTACCCGATGTAAAGCACGGGATGTAAACTTACCATATCTTACCCAATGAAAAGCACGGGTTGAAAACTTACCATATTTTCCCAATGAAAAGCACGGGTTGTAAACTTACCATATTTTACCCATTGTAAAGCACGGGATGTAAACTTACCATATTTTCCCAATGTAAAGCACGGGATGTGAGCTTACCATATTTTCCCAATGTAAAGCACGGGTTATAAACTTACCATATTTTACCCAATGTAAAGCACGGGATGTAAACTAACCATATTTTCCAAATAAAAAGCACGGGTTGTAAACTCACCATATTTTCCCAATGAAAAGCACGGGTTTTGAACTTACCATATTTTACCCAATGAAAAGCACGGGATGTGCACTTAATTTAGTTTACCCAATGTAAAATTTGGATTGTGAAATTGCCAAACGCCGGCTATAGTTGTCATGAACACTCAATGTTGAAAACATAGGTTGTATGTTTTACCCAAGCATGTCTTAACTAAAACTGGAAGCCTCTTGAAATTCAAAACTAAACAAACTTACTACCATTGGATTAACGGCAGACCGCTCTCTTAAAACAGCAACTATTTAAGTGATGTGATAACCTTCTTTGTTTGCAATCAACTGAACACACACCATCGCTGCACGTAGGGCAATAACTAAATTTAAGTATACCCTCGCTAGATCTTCAAATGTTTCTCAAAACAAATCTCGCCAGCATCGGACGCTGATATCTTTGTAGCCTGAGGTGGCTGTAGCCTACCACGCAGTATCATTGGCAGAAAACACCTGTCCCAGTTTTACTATTCTGTATAGGGATTACATACAGGTAATTATTGTCCAACTGACTTTTGTGTCTAGGTGAGATCAGCACGCCTAGGACAGTACTGTCTTCTGTGTCTAGTTGAGATCAGCATGCCCGGGATGGAACTGTCTTCTTTGTCTCGGTGAGATCAGCACGCCCAGGACAGTACTTTCTTCTGTGTCCCAATGAGAGCCCAGGACCGTACTGTCTTCTGTGTCTCAGTGAGATCAGCATGCCCGGGATGGAACTGTCTTCTCTGTTCCTCTTCTCTGTGTTCCAGTGATAGCAGCGCACCCGGTATAGTACTGACTTCTGTGTCTCAGTGACAGCAGCACGCCCGGGATAGTACTGACTTCTGTGTCTCAGTGACAGCAGCACGTCCGGGATAGTACTGTCTTCAGAGTTCAATTGTGAGATCAGCATGCCCGAGATGGAACTGTCTCTCTGTTCCTCTTCTCTGTGTTCCAGTGATAGCAGCACGCCCGGGATAGTACTGTCTTCTGTGTCTCAGTGACAGCAGCACGCCCGGGATAGTACTGACTTATGTGTCTCAGTGACAGCAGCACGCCCGGGATAGTACTGTCTTCTGTGTCTCAGTGACAGCAGCACGCCCGGGATAGTACTGACGTCTGGGTCACAATGAGAGCAGCGCATTAAGAATAGTACAGACCACTGTGTCTCAGTGAAAGCAGCACAATCGGGATAGTACTGTCTCGGCGAGAAAAGCGTGCTCGGCATCACACTTGCTTCTGTGTTCCGCTGCGAGTACACTGTAGGCCGTCCGGGTTGATATCGTCTACTCTGTTCCGCGGTGAGGACAGCGCACCCGAGATAGTACTGACTTCTGTGTCTCAGTGAGAGCAGCACGCCAAGGATAGTACTGATTTCTGTGTCTCAGTGAGAGCAGCACGCCAAGGATAGTACTGACGTCTGTGTCTCAGTGACAGCAGCACGCCCGGGGTAGTACTGACTTCTGTGTCCCAGTGATAGCAGCACGCCCGGAGTAGTACTGACTTCTGTATCCCAGTGATAGCAGCACGCCCGGGGTAGGACTGACTTCTGTTTCCCAGTGATAGCACCACGCCCGGGGTAGTACTGACTTCTGTTTCCCAGTGATAGCAGCACGCCCGGAGTAGTACTGACTTCTGTGTCTCGGTGACAGCAGCACGCCCGGGATAGTACCGTTACTACTAAGTCACTTGTGTCACTGTGTTAGTGGTGGATACTATTCAGATAAAGGTACCAGTTCACTTTGTATTTTGCGTTTATTCACTAGTGTCAGCGTTACATTTTCAATGGCGTTGACACGCGGTTTCGCGCTTCGCACTCGCGCAGGGGTGTCTCCAACTATCGCTGGTTGCCTCACTGCCTCGTGCTTTGTGTCAACATTAATACACGAAACGCCAGCTTTACAATTACCCTCGACCTGTAGTGTACAGGTGCTTACCGAGGTTTCCTTAGATACAATTCAAGTGAACATAACGCAGGCTTCAAAATCATTAGCTATTAATGTCATGTACATAGTATCAAATCAATGTTGTGTATTTTAGAAATCTTTCCTGGTTTTGTTGTTGTCGTTGTAGTGTTTAGGTATGTAAATCATATTCATAAACTTATCTTACACAGAAATTTATACACATCTCATGTGTATTGTATTTAACTTTGTATCAGTGTGATATTGCCATGCTTAAAATATGAAAGATGATACGTTATCGTTTTTACCAATGTGATATGTTGTTTGTATCAATGTGATGTGCTGTTTGTATCAATGTGATATGTTGTTTGTATCAATGTGATGTGTTGATTGTATCAATGTGATGTGTTGTTTGTATCAATGTGATATGTTGTTTGTATCAATATGACGTGTCGTGATTGTATCAATGCCATGTGTTGTTTGTATCGATGTAATGTGTTGTTTGTATCAATGTGCTTTATGTTGTTTGTATCGTATGATGTGTTGTTTGTATCAATGTCCTGTGTTGTTTGTATCGATGTAATGTGTTGTTTGTATCGTATGATGTGTTGTTTGTATCAATGCCATGTGTTGTTTGTATCAATACCATGTGTTGTTTGTATCGATGTAATGTGTTGTTTGTACCAGTATTGTATGTTCATTGTATCAATGCCATGTGTTGTTTGTACCAGTATTGTATGTTCATTGTATCAAAGTGATGCCTTGTTTATACCAATGCGTTGTTTGTATCGATGTGCTGTGTTGTGTTTGTAACAATGTGCTTTATGTTGTTTGTATCGTATGATGTGTTGTTTGTATCAATGTGATATGTTGTTTGTATCAATATGATATGTTGTTTGTATCTATATGACGTGTCGTGATTGTATCAATGCCATGCGTTGTTTGTATCAATGTGCTTTATCTTGTCTGTATCGTATGATGTGTTGTTAGTTTCACTGTGATGTGTTTTTGCACCAGTGTAATGTGTCGTTTGTGCCAATGTAATGTTTATGTATCATTGTGAAGTGTTTTGTATGTTGCGTGTTTCTGTGTGCTGTTTCTGTGTGCTGTATGTGTTGTGCTGTATGTGTTGTGCTGTATGTGTTGTTTGTTCGTATGTGTTGTGCTGTATGTGTTGTTCTGTATGTTGTTGTTGTGTTGTATGTGTTGTTTGTTTGTATGGGTTGTGCTGGATGTGTTGTCTGTATGTGTTGTGCTGTATGTGTTGTGCTGTATGTGTTGTCTGTTTGTATGTGTTGTTCTGTATGTTGTTGCTGTGTTGTTGTTGTGTTGTATGTTGTTGCTGTGTTGTTGTTGTGTTGTATGTTGTTGTTGTGCTGTATGTGTTGTTCTGTATGTTGTTGTTGTGTTGTATTGTGTTGTTCTGTATGTTGTTGTTGTGTTGTATTGTGTGCGTACCCTTGTAGCTCTCGGTCAGAACTGACTGAGCATCTTCTGACAGCGGGGAGTGAGGGCGGAGTCAGCCACTGGAGTGTGGAAGGGCGGTACCAGCGCGTGGCTGCTGGGCCATGTCCACGTGCTCCATCACGGGACTAAGGCATTTGTGATAGCAGGATGTGAAGGGACTGTCCCGCTCGTGCGAGCTACCAGTTCCGTATGTGTGTGTTCTTACTTTCTATATTTGGTTTGTTGTCAGGACAGTGTAAGACGGGGGATTTACTGTGACCGAGCAACGTGTCCTTACCGCCGGGACGTACTTGTATCAAATGACATGTGGTTGATCTACACATTGACTATTCTTATACTGTAACCTTGGGAACGTCACCACAATTATTTGTTGAAAAGGTAAGTGTGTTTTTTCACCTTTCTTACTCGTAAATAGTAACAGACATATGTACTTACTTGGCCCGGTAGACAGTCCTTATCGGGCCAATACTTAACACGACTCACTCTCACGAAATACGTCATCAGTTATCTCCAGTCTGTTTACTGGTTTGTTATCTGAGAATTTTAATTCCTATCATATCTTGAAATTTATCTTTTTGGCTGGTAGCTGTGTATACTACAGGGTAGTGTACAAGCGGCGAAACCCCGTCGGTCCTCCGTCGTCAAAGTTTACTCGACAATTTTGTGACCTTGTACATTTTTTCTGTAACTGGGTAAAGACTCGGGTCAAGTCCTAAAATTATTCCCAGACATGGGACCAAAGACACGCCTTGTATTTGTATTATACATGTACGGTGAATAAAATTCAGTGTGGGAGCCGTGAGAGTGGTCTAGATCCCTCGGGAGATAATGGATTAGGGGAGCAACTGTAGTCATACAAGCTTAGTTGAATATAGCTATGTTAATGAAATTGATACCATTTCTTACAAATACGTGTATACAATGCCCGAGGTTTGTTCTCGTTATTTGGTAATGGTTGATTGGCGAAACATTGTGTGTATGGTATTACAGCAGTGTCGATACGGGGCTCTCACTCAGCCTGCTGTTCTAGGGTGCATAGGGACCGGCATATGGCCCCCAGCAGTGTATGTGTGCAGCAGCCTCAGTGCGTGACGGACACATCTGCCGTTCGTGTCGCATTAACCATGATTAGATTGGGAACAGTAATTATTATACTTGCTGTAAGTAGTCGAGACAGCCGTGTAAGAGGCCTGATCTTTGACGAGTAGGAATAACCAACACTGATGGTATTAATCACATAATAAATACATATACTACAAGGACCGTTGATTGCAGTAACATTCGGTATATCTGCAATAAAAAAAACTACTCGGCCTTATGTTAACGAGCCATCATCCACCGAGGGCTGGGTGACAATTCTCCAGCCAGGCGCTACCGAGCTTTTACATTATTAAGGAGCCACCTACCGTACTTTAATCAACAACGGGACACAACACTGTAGCTTTTATATACGCTATGTCACTCATCAGTGGTACTGTCATACAATTTATTTCAATAAGTTATTGCTCATTTGTGATTACGTAAGTAATCTGATAGCCTATGACAAAAACAATAACGAATTAAATATACATGGGCGGCAGTTTGACAGGCTAGGTCACAGCCCACTTCCTGCTACGTATGTCCCTGTTACACCGGCGTTGGAGACATGTGCACTACAAGTACAAGTATGTCTGCTGCAGACCGTAACACAATGTTAAATATACCCGACATGGTGAAAAGGGGGGCGGCCTGATGCCCAGAATGGTAGAAGTGGTGTATTGTGTACAGTAGAGTACAGGTTAGCGCGCTGGAGATGGTGTGACGGACCAATACAGGGTCGTAAATTCTACTGACATTTTTCAGATCCGGGAAATAGAAACGATGTCGTTTAGTGATGGTTATAGATCTGACACGTTTTTTAACTCGTAATTTGTCATTTTGATGGCATTTAAACACATTCCATCAGTTCACCGTCAATACCTCAAAGGTGTGAATTAAATATAGATCGTATAGGAACTACAGTGTAACGAATGTGAATAAATGTTAGTTAACGAAGCGTTTCAAGTGATACTGCGAAATCCGACTACGTCCTCTCGGGATTGGATCTCCGGACAACACAACCAGCGTGTAAACCGACTACGTCCTCTCGGGATTGGATCTCTGGACAACACAACCAGTGTGTTATCCAACTCCGTCCTCCCGGGATGGATCTCCGGACAACACAACCAGCGTGATTACCAACCCCGTCCTCCCGAGAGTGGATCTCCGGACAACACAACCAGTGTGTTAACCAACTCCGTCCTCCCGGGAGTGGATCTCCGGACAACACAACCAGCGCGTTTACCAACTCCGTCCTCCCGGGATGGGATCTCCGGACAACACAACCAGCGTGTTTACCAACTCCGTCCTCCCGGGAGTGGATCTCCGGACAACACAAGCAGCATGTTTACCAACTCCGTCCTCCCGGGAGTGGATCTCCGGACAACACAACCAGCGTGTTTACTAACTCCGTCCTCCCGGGAGTGGTCTCCGGACAACACAACCAGTGTGTTAACCAACTCCGTCCTCCCGGGTGTGTTCTCCGGTCAACACAACCAGTGTGTTAACCAACTCCGTCCTCCTGGGAGTGGTCTCCGGACAACACAACCAGCGTGTTTACCTCTATGTAAACCAACCTCTACGTAAACCAACCCCTTCACCTCGGGACTCGATTTCAAAATCATTAACTGTGTAAACCTACCTCCCCAGGAGCTGATCTCAATAAGGACTGTAGGCCGTTCTGTTTATGATAGCAACTCTAGTCGGACAACATTGCGCTCGTTTAAAATTTCATACTTTGTTATTATTTCTATTTATATCAAGAAAGCAGCCCTGTCAGTTCTGACAAATTTTACTACATATAAACCATAAAGCTTTCGACAACGTCCGAAATCTAATGATATCTACTAATGTGACAAATGTACAAATAACCGAGGCTTAATAGTGGGTTCCATAGACATACTCAGTATTCAGTAAGACACAACAGGTATACAATTCTATTGATGTTAATAGGGGGATATGAGACAGTAAATACATAGATGTACCTCGTGAGGACTCGATGTGACAGGTTTGCACAAACACACATAAGTGTTGATATTGAAGAGCTCGTTTCCAAAAAGACAATAAACCAGCCCCATGTAATCCCCTCTATGACATGTGCTCTATATGATACCTCCCGGATTACTGAGGGATGATCAACTGGCCTGGTGGATTGGACAGAGCAGGTCTCGGGTGTAGTCCGAGTACAGCCAAGGACGATAACATAAAGAGGGTTACAATTATATTGACTGTTTTTTGTTCTCGTGGCCGGTAAAGTCAGCGCGACGCTGAACTAGCTAGATACATATTACAGGAATAGTAGCGTTCGTTTTGCAGTAACATGACGGAAACCCCATTATCAACATTAGCAGCCGTGTCGCACCCGTGCAGGAACTTCTTGTGATTCCTTTTTACGATGTTTCTTCATAAACCGACAATTACAATCAAACGAGGACAGAATGATGTGCCCTCAGAAACTGAATAATGAAATCAAATGGATACAAACACTGTCCTCAGTCCTCACAGAAACCGTCAAAACGCTGTACCATCGGAATTGACGTAAAATGAAAGGAAAACAAAGTAAATAAGAACCAGAAGATTGAAATAAAATGTTAACAAACACTGCGTTCAGGCTCAGAAACCGACAAAAGCTAATCAATGGAAACAATCACTCTTCTCAAAGACACCAAAACTTAATATCAGTGGAAACTGACAATGAAAACGTCAGTATTACCCACAGTCCTGCAGTACGCCAGTATTAATATTATTACTCACAGTCCTGCAGTACGCCAGTATTACCCACAGTCCTGCAGTTTATACACGTTTTTATGTTTGCTTTTAAAATGACGTCGCGTATGGTGACAATATTACATAACCAGGGTCGGCAATTAAAAGGCGCATTCGAACTGTCGCGGTTCACGGAAAGTTAGTACGCAGTTAGAATTATTTATCTTTCACCTACCATGTCAGTCAATAAGCGCAATAAAAGACAATATTCCAGTAAATCTTTTCAACATAATGTCTATTGACACCTTTTTTTCCCCGCAGCTCCGTGTATCAGGGTAGTTCAGCTAAGTTGCATACGGGGAGGTGGAGGTAGCCTGTACACACTCCGTTTATAAGCAACGTGCGTCACAGTCGCCGATCGTAAGGTTTTCACTAAAACAAGGATTTTAAGCTACGAAATGATGTTCAAACGTCATTTTAAACAGATCCGGTTGTTTTAGCTTGAAACGTTGTAGATTAGTACTGATTATCAGAGGAGGTGAGCAGACCGTTCTCGTCCACACGGGTTCAGTTCAAGATACGTGTAAATGAAATTAAATGTATACAAACAATGATCTTTCAGAAACAGACGTTTTAATTCAAAGAGAAAATAATGCTAGCACCATCAGAAACTGGCGTTAAAATTATACAGAACCTCTAGAAACTGACGTTAAAAACTAAAGGGAAACAAACACTAAAAACCAACCGGAAATACTATTTCATCGGAATTCGACGAAGAAACAAACACTACTCCCAGGAACCGACAATTACGATCTATGGAAACAAACACTGAATTATGACCTACAGAAACCAACCATTTAAATGTATGGAAACAAACACTGACCTACAGAAACCAACCATTTAAATCTATGGAAACAAACACTGCATTATGACCTATAAAACCAACCATTTACATCTATGGAAACAAACTGTGCATTCTGACCTATAGAAACCAACCATTTAAATATATGGAAAAAAACACAGACCTATCGAAACCAACCATTTAAAACTATGGAAACAAACACTGACCTATAGAAACCAACCATTTAAAACTATGGAAACAAACACTGACCTACAGAAACCAACCATTTAAATCCATGGAAACAAACGGTGCATTCTGACCTATAGAAACAAACCATTTAAATCTATGGAAACAAACACTGACCTATAGAAACCAACCATTTAAATATATGGAATTAAAACACTGACCTATAGAAACCAATCATTTAAATATATGGAATTAAAACACTGACCTATAGAAATCAACTATTTAAATCTATGGAAACAAACACTGCATTCTGGATCAGGAACCGACAATTAAAATCCATTATTTGAAACATATTGAAACATACACTGCATTTTGGCATAGAAAATCCATTGAAACAAACTCTGCATTTTGGCATAGAAAAGCCATTGAAACAAACACTGCGTTCTGGCATAGAAATCCATTGAAACAAACACTGCATTCTGGCATAGAAATCCATTGAAACAAACACTGCATTCTGGCATAGAAACAGACAATTGTAATCAATGGCAAATGGTTAAGAAAGCAAGAA